GTAGTAACAGTGCCAGCAGGAGCAACACTCACAGGGCTTGGAAGAGGGTCGTCGAACCAACCATTTCTCTGCTCACTCGATTGATGCATAAAAAACTGTGTACTAAATCGTCTCCCTCCCTCCCTCCTCCCTTTCCTCCTTTCCTCCCTCCTCCCTCCCTCCCTCCCCTCCCCTCCCTCCCTCCCCTCCCCTCCCTCCCTCCCCTCCCTCCTCCCCTCCCTTCCTCCCTCATTCTCCTCCCTCCCTTCTTCTCCCACCCTCCCTCCACTCCTCCCTCCCTCCACTCCCTCCTCCCTCCCCTTACTCCCCTACCCTCCCCTTCCCTCTTCTTCCTCCCTTCCTCTGCCCTTTTACACGCTTTCCTTTTTATCCTCTCCCTTCTTCGCCCTCCCTCCCTCCCTCTCCCAGTCCTTCATCCATCCCTCTTCCTCCTCTTTCTCTTCCTTCTCACTTATGTACAGGTTCTCTCCCCTTCTCTCTCTCTCTGTTCATCATTCGTTCACAGTTTTTTCTCTCGTCTTCTTTTACCCTTTCACCTGTTTTTTCTCTTGTTCCCCTTTCAACTCGTTCTCCTATTCTTTTTCTCCTCTTCCTACCACTATCCTCTACCCCTTCGCTCCTTCCTCCTAGCTTGCATCCTCTTCTATCCCTTCTTCTTCCTCCTCCTCCTCCGTGACCAGGGTGCCGGGCAGTATGTCACCACCACTTTATAACAAACCTCACCAGTATCTACACCCCCGTCTGCCCATTGTACACCCCCCCCACCCTCCACACCAGCCACACAAGAGGGGTTAGGTTACGTTTGGTTAGGTTAGGGTTAGATTGGTTTTGGTTAGGTTAGGTTACGTTAGGTTAAATTAGGTGGTTTAGGTGTGTGTCAGGTGAGTGTTAGGTGGCCCAGGTGCTAATCTTTGGCCAGGTGACAGTGATGGAGGGAATAAGGGGAGGGGCGGGGAGGGTAACAAGGGGAGGGGCGGGGAGGGAACATGAGGAGGGGCGGAAGAAGGTAGTGAGGATTAGCATAGTATGAATAGAAATAACATTGGTGGAGGGAGGGAGGGAGGGAGGGAGGGAGGGGCGACTGATAGTGGAGGTGAGGGAGAGGCGATGATGGGGGAGGGAGAAAAGGAAGAGGAGAAGAGGGAGGGAAAGGTAATTGTGAAGGGAGGAAGGAAAGGAGGGAGAGGTAAAGGGAGAAGGGAGATGAATGAATGAAGATAACAACGAGACGAGAATGAATGCAGATGAAAAAAGTTGTGAATGAAAACAGTAAATAAAGAAGGAAGGAAGATGTGAGTTGAGTATAAAAACCGGGAATGAAAATAGCCAATAAAAATATCACAGATGAAAGCAGTGGAAAGAATGTCGCGGGATAGGAGGTGAATGAAAATGGTCGTGATGAAAGAACTTGAGTTTTAAGAATGAAGATGGCGCCGAGGGAATCAAAGGATCTTGTGAGGCCGAAAGAAACACAAAGGGAAGATTATGATGATCGTAGAGAGAGAGAGAGAGAGAGAGAGAGAGAGAGAGAGAGAGAGAGAGAGAGAGAGAGAGAGAGAGAGAGAGAGAGAGAGAGAGAGAGAGAGAGAGAGAGTTTATTGAATCTGAAATCTGTCGACGTTGTCTGACAAAGGAGTGAGGGAAGGATAGCAGGTAGTGAGTGAATGCAGTGCCAACCTTCAGTGCCAATTTTAACGGACTATAAAGTAGACCGCCTGGCACTTTCCTGTTGTGGCACTCTTCCTATAGGGGCCACTGGTGTCACTTATGGCACTTCATATGGGTGCCACTGGTGTCACTTATGGCACTTCATGCAGGTGCCACTGGTGCCACTTATGGCACTCTTCCCATAGGTGCCATGTATTGATCTTAAGGTTCCCAGGGCGGTAGCTTGATGGAGGGAGGGGAAGTCTGAGTGAGTGTGTGAGAGGAGAGGAGACGGAAAAGAGAGAGACAGGAGGAATGGAACAGTGGTTAAACCCAAGAGGTGAGAGGAGAGGAAAGGAGAGAGAATGAGATTGAGAGGAGGAGGGAGAATAGAAGGAAGGGAGAATAATAATGGCGTTAAAGATGTGGACGAGAGAGAGAGAGAGAGAGAGAGAGAGAGAGAGAGAGAGAGCCAACTAACAATAAAACAGTAAAGCATAATCCGGCTTTATGCTCGGACCATTCAGTCATTTTTATACATTATTCACTAGTTAATATAATCATTATTAAGCCTGTTTCATTTGAATAATTCCACACATTCATTATACATCACGTAGTGTGTGTGTGTGGGTGTGGGGGGGGGTGTGTGTGTGGGTGTGTGCGTGTGGGGTGTGTGTGTGTGTGTGTGTGTGTGTGTGTGTGTGTGTGTGTGTGTGTGTGTGTGTGTGTGTGGGTGTGTGTGTGTGTGTGTGTGTGTGTGTGTGGTAGTGGGTGTGTGTGTGTGTGTGTGTGTGTGTGTGTGTGTGTGTGTGTGTGTGTGTGTGTGTGTGCGTGTGTGTGTGTGTGTGTGTGTGGGTGTGTGTGTGTGTGTGTGTGTGGGTGTGGGGGGGGGTGTGTGTGTGGGTGTGTGCGTGTGGGGTGTGTGTGAACCTTGCTAGACGTGTTATGGTTGGTTGAGGATAATGAAGTTTGTTCAAGGGATGTCATTGGCTGGAAAAATGTGTTTTAAACCAATGGCCAATCAGAATTGAAGATTTTTCGGCGCGTTTATTAACTGATAGATCTTAGCCGTGGAAATATAAGAGTTATGGACCAATCGAAATTGAGTATTTGTCTGCGTGTATTATAACTGGTGAGTATAACAGCGAAAGTTTGAGTCTCGTCGACCAGTTAAAATTGGAGTTTTATCTACGTGTATTAACTGATGATTGTTATTGGTGGATACATGATATTATGGACCAATCATAATTGAGCATTTTCTCTACATGATATTGTTTGTGGTAGTAATGCCAGCCCCCCCTTCCCCTCCCTCCCCCTTCAACCCTCCCTCCCCAACCCCCTTCCCCCACCTCCCCCACCTCTTCACCTTCATTCTACCTGTCCCCTCTCCCTTCCTCTCTCCCCTTCGGTCTTTTGCAATCCCTCCTTCCTCCTTCCCTTCCTTCCCACCCCACCCTCCCCCACCTTCCCCCCACCCCCTCACCTTCAGTCTTCCTGCCCCACATGGCACCGAGGGGCCATAAAAGCAGGCCCGCCATAGCTTCCGTGAGTACAGCCCTGATGGAACGCCATATTTGCATATAATTTTGTTGGGTGAATGTGGGGTAATGTATCGCGCCTGATAATATATATATATGGCTTTTCTTTCTGTGACGGAATCCATGATGGTGATGGCTCTTAGTGTTACTATTTACTGGTGTTACTTTTGGGTGAATTGTTACTGTTACTTTTTGGTGTTACTGTTGTTATTGTTGCGCGTCACCGCTCGGACATACATACATACTCTCTCTCTCTCTCTCTCTCTCTCTCTCTCTCTCTCTCTCTCTCTCTCTCTCTCTCTCTCTCTCTCACCAGGAGCTGTTTAACATACGTGACATTGCAAAATACTAGTTGTCGGTGCTACATTACCCTAGTGTGTGTGTGTGTGTGGTGTGTGTGTGTGTGTGTGTGTGTGTGTGTGTGTGTGTGTGTGTGTGTGTGTGTGTGTGTGTGTGTGTGTGTGTGTGTGTGTGTGTGCCCCCAGGCGTGGTACACATGGTGGGCGTGATCATGGGGGGCAGTGTACGGGCGGCTCGGGATACATTGCCCTTATTTGCAATTCTATTCCCGGGTTGTATTTGGCTCTATACCTTATGTCTCACGGCCTTCAATAACTCCGGGTTTTGCCTACCAGCTCGGGGGAGGGAGGGTGGAGAGGGTGGAGAGGAAGGGGTACTGTAGAGAAAAGGAGAAGGTAGAGAGGGATGAGAAAGATGACGAGAAGGTGAAGTGAGGCGTAAGGAAGGATGAAGGTAAGAAGGAAGGGAGGAAGGAAGGAAGGGAAGCAGCGAAGGAATTGTAAGGAAAGATGGGGTGAAGGAAGTTGGTACACACTCAAACACAGGAGTAAGACAACACATCCCGGGAACACAGGTAGCACATCACAGCACAGCGCAGCACAGCACACCGCAGCACAGCACAGTTTGTGGAGGCTGTGTATACACTTAAGAGGAAGCTGTTGACTCATTATCCTGAGTGTGTGTCGTGGTGGTCAGCTCAACCTACCATGAGGCTCCACGTGTTATTAGTGAAACTGGGTGCTGAGCGAGGTGCTGGGCATGGCTGGGTGTTGGGTGAGGTGCTGGGCATAGCTGGGTGTTGGGTGAGGTGCTGGGCATAGCTGGGTGTTGGGTGAGGTGCTGGGCATGGCTGGGTGTTGGGTGAGGTGCTGGGCATGGCTGGGTGGCCTCCTGGGTGTTGTGTGAGGTACTGGGCGTGGCTGGGTGGCCTCCTGGGTGTTGGATGGAAGGCCATAGCTAGGTGGCCTCCTGGGTGTTGGATGAGGTGCTGGGCATGGCTGGGTGGCCTCCTGGGTGCTGGGCATAACTAGGTAGCCTCCTGGGTGCTGTGTGAGGTGCTGGGCCTGACTAGATACGTTCCTTTTACACTTTGAGTCATAGTTTACGTGTGGCGTGTTGTTGACAGGTCGGGTGGGAGTGACAGATGAGTGACCGTGTTGACCGTAACTCAGCAGGGAGTGTTGTGGTAATCCCCCTCCCCCCCCCCAGGCTGTGTGCCTCCATTATTGTTAAACCATCATCTCTATAATGTGTTTTAGATTTAATAGTATAGTTTATTTATTGTTTTATTTTAAGATATTATTAGCGTCACCTGAAGATTATCATTCACCTTATTTCACCTTAAGATTAATCATCCTAATGCTAATCTAACCTAAACCCCCTAAGGATGTTTAATTAATCAGGTGAAATAAGGTGAGTCTAATTAATCAGGTGATCTTTTTCTTGTTTACAGCAGCAGTGATTTACCTGACGTGTTTACTAATTGGTGTCCTCCTCCTCCTCCTCCTCCCGCAGGTGCAGCCAACGACAGAACTGCAGTGTGGCGGCGTCGACGAGAGGTTTCGGTGACCCTTGCCCTGGCACCCTCAAATACCTGGAGGCCCACTTCCAGTGTGTCCCAGGTGAGTGCCACTTATTGTTCATGGTCACACGTTATGAATAATGATGTGGACTGAGGTTGTGTTTGTCCCGTGCGTCGTTGTCACCTGTGCTGTTACGTTACATGACGGTACATAATTACTTAATACATGATACATAATTACTTAATACATGATACATAATTACTTAGCAATACCTGATACATAATTAATTAACAATATATGTACCTTTAATAATGTTACATAGGTCATTCTTCCTCACTACCTCCACTGGTGAGTCTTACACCCGCTCCCAGGGAACACTTGATCCTGTCGCGCCACAAATGTTGTGGTAAACGTCACACAAACTGGCGTATAATGACTCAATCGTGGGAATGACGGTGCAGTAACAGGTTGCAGTGGTTACAATGAGCTGTGTAACATTATCAACGGTACATGTAACGTTATTATGTAATGTCCTGTAATAAGCGTAACTGTACCCGATATAAATCCTATACATTACTCAGGGGTGACGACACACAGAGGTGGTCCAGCCTAGTGTGTAAACATTAGGTCCACCTGTTGTTAGTGGCGTCTCATACACCTGTACTGGTTCCCACGATGTGTAATTACTATATTAAATACCTCATGTCCTAAACACACACACACTGAAATATTTGTGTACTGTAGAACGTGAACAAATGAGGCGTGTATGTATTTTGTTATTCATTTTAGTTAATTACAAAAATATAATTAGCTTGTAATTATCGAGGTGTTGTGGTGTGTTACCTGACCTGGCAACTGTGGGGGGAGGGGGGGGTCCTGTCGTACAGTAGCCTGCCATCTACCTCTGCACTGTACCCTCCCTCCCTCTCTCCAACACACACACACTCTCTCCCCCAACACATACTCTCTCCCTCCAACACACACTCTCTCCCTCCAACACACACTCTCTCCCTCCAACACACACTCTCTCCCTCCAACACACACACTCTCTCCCCCAACACATACTCTCTCCCTCAACACCTCTCTCTCCCTCCAACACACACTCTCTCCCTCAGCTTTTACACTCTCTCCCTCCAACACACACACCTCCCTCCAACACACACTCTCTCCTCCAAGCTTTTACTCTCCCTCCAACACACACACACACACACACACACACACACCTCTTTCTCCAACACACACACTCTTTCTCCAACACACACTCTCTCCCCCCAACACACTCTCTCTCCCTCCAATACACTCCCTCTCTCCAACACCCTCCCTCCCTTCAATACACACAGCCAGTCCATCATTATAAGTACCGTTTTATAGTCCAATATTAGTGGTCAACACACCTCACCTGTAGTGCCAACCTTACTAGTCGTGCCACGTCAGGGCCAAGTAACCACACATGTACCACCATCACATAACTCTTTCTTCCACACACACACACACACACACACACACACACACACACACACACACACACACACACTAGGATAATGTACTTTTGTTTACTCTCAGGTGTGTAGGTGTAGTGTATACATGTAAATGCCGCTTTGGTTTATCTGTGTACGTACATGAGTGGCTTTGTGTGCTGTGTGTGTATTTTCTACTTACGTACATAAATGTTATGTTATAGATTTTAGATTACCGTGTGCACAAATGTAGGTTCCATTGACGGTGTGTACATGGTTGTGACTGTCTCGCCCTTACAGTGAACCCGCCGTCGCACACAGCCCGGCCACGCCCTCCCTGGTTCATCGCCACCAAGACCACCGTCAGCTCCATCACCGAGGACGACCCCCCCATCCCCTCGCCTCCAATTAAGGGCAGCCCCGTTGGAGGCAGTGGGGGTGGCGGCGGTGGTATCGGAGGCCCCGCTTCTGGCAACGATGGAGATGGTGGGGGAGGAGATGGCGAGAATGTTGGAGGAGGAGGAGTACTACTAGGAGGAGGAGGAGGAGGAAGAAAGGGAGGGGGAGCAGCAGCAGGAACAGCAGGAGGAGGAGGGGAAGGAGTCAGTGGCAGCGGGGATACCGGCAGCCTTAATTTGGAGAACCGCCTGAAGGGGACTCCTGTCGAGGACCTGCCGCAGACGACGACCTCCACGACGACAACGACGACGCTGCGGCCGCCGCCCTGGCTCATCACCAACACGACCAAGAATACCACCACCACGACCACTACTTCGACTACTACCTCCACTACTACCACCACCACGCCTATACCCGCCTCCTCCACGACCACCACGACCTCAGGACCTCAGACGAACCTAGACAGTCCTGTTGTGTCGTCGGCAGCAGAGGCGGGCGGAGGAAGTAAGACTCGAGGAGACCAGGACGACAGTGACGCCACGGGCGACAAGTCGCCCACCCAGCAGGAGGAAGACGATGAGGTGCAGGGCGAGCAAGTCGTCACCTCCACTATCTCAACCACAAGTAAGTACAGCAGGTGGAGGTGGACCTTCACGAGGCCTGTGTTACCCTTGAGGGACGATAGTTTAACCCCTTGACGATTTAAAGCTCTTCAAGTGGTAGTAGCTTAAACTTAACCCTTCGAGGACGATGGTTTAACCCCTTTAGAATTATAGGTCTTTAAATTGTTATATCTTAAAGGCTAAGTCCACTTTCACTAAACCTAAAACAGTAAGTGAATTATGTGTGTTTGTGTGATATTCAGTATACTTGGCCGAGATTAAATGCAGGAACAGTGTACCAGCGTTATTTGATTGCTGTCTAACTGAATTCATAATTAGTTAATATGTATTAAGAGGGAAACACGCGTATTAATAATTCCATTATTCTCTTAAATATTTGTTCAAATGATTTATGTTCATCGTGTTCAGAGCAGAAGGAGAGATATAAACTGGGGCATATTTTCACAGTGTCTGAGCACCAAAGACGCTTCAATCTGAAATCTCGCCGCCAATATTGGGTTGTGTCACAGAAGATTGTCCGACGCCCACACGAGGCTGTTGTTGTCTAAAAGATTGGAATATATGTTATTGAACTGCCGTGGGTGGCGGGACATATTGCGCCTTCCTTATTAGTTTGTGCACAGCGGGGCTTCCGGGAGCACTCTGCTGGTATTCCACCAAAAGTGAGGACGTCTTAAACTGACGTGTGAGGGGGGGGGGGTAACCTGGAGGTGAGAGTTCCTGGTTACTGAAGGATGTTGGGTGATGTTTTGGGAGAGAAATATCAGTCAGGTCATATACTGTTTAGCCGAGTTACTGCATGACTCACATCACTAACTGTTTCCCTTCCCTTTACAGCTGTGTGGTCGGCGCGGGCGGAGGTGCCCACCACGGGTGTTGGTCCCATCGGCAGCGAGGCGTCGTGGTGTCCTCCCTCGTCAGGCCGCGGTCTTTTCTGGAACTGGACGCAGGGTGGGGACCTAGCGGTGCAGCCGTGCCCTGGGGGAGCCTCAGGGTGGGCGCGGCGCCCCTGTAACCCCTTAGGGTGGTCAGGACCTGCCGACCTGAGTGAGTGTCGCAGCGTGTGGCTCACCACCCTCACATCTCGCGCTCACGCTAACGACGCGGTGCTGGCCGTAGCCCACGACCTGGCGGCGGTGACGGGCTCCCGAGCTCTGTACGGCGGCGACGTCACCGCTACAGCCAGACTACTCAACAGTCTCGCCCGCAGGATGGCAGACGATGTCAACAACTTCCCTGACGGTGACCAGCGGGAGGCTCTGGTGACGGAGCTCGTAGGCGCCGCCGTAGCCACTGGTTCACATCTAGTGGGCGGCCAGCGAGCGGCGTGGGCGGACTTGAGGCCTCCCGAACACAGGGCGGCCGCCACCGCCCTCCTGCTGGGACTAGAAGAGGCAGCTTTCCTGTTAGCTAACAACTTACACTACGAGAAGACTGTCAAATTTGCCGAGTCTAATATATGTGAGTACAATACAGTACAGTACAGTACAGTACAGTACAGTACAGTACAGTACTTCTGTTTACCTGTCCCGTGTGTGTCAAGTGCCCTGTCCCGATACTAACATGTCTGGACCGATGCCTCTGTCTCAGCACTTCCCTCCCAATAGCTGTAATATATAACCATTCCCCCGGGTGTAGGAAGGTGAGGGGTGTCAGGCACAGTCCAGGGGCCTCCTACACTCCTACACGGGTGAGGTCCTTTAGGAGCAAGGAGGAAAGTCTTGAGTGTTACAAGGAGTAGGTTACCTGTCCCTCACCTGTCCTTCGTCACGCCTTGTTTACCTTCTTGTCGTTCCTCAAGTCTTCCTCCTCCTCCTCCGTCCTTTAGTTCACAGTCTTATCCCCCCTCGTTCCTTCAGCGCCTCCGGCAGTAATTGCATCAGACTCAAACGTATAAGATCCTGAGAAAAAGGTGAGTAATTAAAAGATAGTGAAGCTTCCATTATGTGCTTGTTGTGGCCTGCAGGAGATGCTTGTACGGCCTGCAGCAGATGCTTGTACGGCCTGCAGCAGATTTCTCACTACGGCCTGCAAAAGATGCTTCTTGTAGCGTGCAACAGCCTTTGAGGACCTAGTTGTTAGAGCCTGCAGGACCTACTTGCTGGAGCCTGTAAAAGGTAGGCGGCCAGCTGGGAGTGGCTTAGTGTCCTGCCCGTGTACCCAGGACAGTCTGGCGTAGAAAAGTCTTCTCATTTGCATACGGTATTTTTTCCCTTAAAGATGTAGCGTTAAGTAAGATCGTAACTTAAGAATGGGGAGCCGGGTAAGTCGATCCTACTTTTGTTTACTTAATAGACTAAAGTAAATTAACCCAAGTTGTTGTTTTACTTAAGGACGAGTAGTGAAGTAAGAGACGTTGTTAAAGTAAATCAAACTGTTTCAAGGACTGGAGTAGATTTTGAAAGTAAATTATAAGTATTTACTTAAAGGTTTTGAAAGTACAAGTTGAATACGAGGAGGAAATACTCTCTCTCTCTCTCTCTCTCTCTCTCTCTCTCTCTCTCTCTCTCTCTCTCCCTCTCTCCCCCTCCTCTCCCCCCCCCTCCCCCTCCTCCTCGCCACACATCCATCACCCAGGAGATAATATATAAGCCAGCATCACATTGCCAGTTCTTAATGGTCATCCCCCCTTTCTTCCCCCTGCAATCCCCTTCCCCGTCACCTCCTCCTCCCCTCCCCCCTTCTTCCCCTGTTGTTTTTGTTATAGTGGATTTCATGACAGATAACGGAAAAAAGACTTGACAGAAAGCAAACAGACAGACACAAAGAAAAGACCGACAGGAAGTAGGCAGACAGACAGACAGACAGACAGACACAGACAGACAGACAGACAGACACAGACAGACAGACAGACATAAAGTAAAGTCAGACACACAGTTTTTCCCTGGGTGTTGTACAGGGTCTCAGGGCCAGGGGTCAGGAGCATTGCCCTGATTCGTTGCTACAGGCGAGGCTGACCTACTGAATACCAAGGTCCTCCCCCCCTCGCCCCCACTCATCGTGTATTCCTCCGCCGCGGGTTTTATCACTGGTTTATCACACGGCTTGTTTTAGTTGTGTTTTATCGTGATGAGGATTAACGATAGGATATTAGGATTAGGTTTAAGTAGTTAGTATCCTTCACTGACTGTCTTTACGGTAAATTATTGTAGGTGTTAATGAGAAAATTTACCTGTATAAAAGGTGTAGTCTCTCTCTCTCTCTCTCTCTCTCTCTCTCTCTCTCTCTCTCTCTCTCTCTCTCGTTAAAACTATTGGCAACGCTGATTGGGAGGTCCAGGAAGAAGGAAACTCTTTGGCAACACTTGGTGGACAGCCGCGGAAACCAGCTGATTGAAATTACACAGGTGGCTCGCCCTCGCCGCCACCCCCCGTCCCCTCGCCCTCGCCTCTGCAGCTTGATTGGCGGCCACGGCTTCCTGGAGGGTGTGGGCGGGGTGGGGGCGTGGGTAAAGGGCGTGGAGAGCACAGACGTGGGTGTAAGGCGTGGCAGTGAGCGCGTACAAACAGCGTACTTTAATATTAACTCGGGAGTGGACCTGTGTATGAGAGAGAGAGAGAGAGAGGTTAGGTTTAGGTTAGGTTAGAAAACGGGAAGAAAATATTAACATCTCGGACGTTGACTGATAACAAACGTTGATATTTATGACGTCAGACAAAAACGTTGAGGCAAGCGTTTGTTGTCATTTATAGTTGACTTTACCTAAAGCTTCTCCGTCTGACGTCACCATTGATAAAAACTTTGAGAACTTTAAGTTTGTTTTACCATTAGAGGAATTTATTTTACCCAAATAAACTGACAGATGAGGAATAAACGAACGCGGGGGAGTTTGTATTGAGGAAGGGAGAGCGAGAGAGAAGGAGAGTCTGGAGGGAAGGAGGAAGAGAGCGAGCGAGGGAGGGAAGGAGGGAGGAAGAAGGAGACAGTTTGGGTGGCTCGACATAATTCGATTTAAGACTTGATTCCTCCCACAAGCTGGTGTCTGTCTCTGTCTGTCTGTCTCTGTCTGTATCGGGCTGGCCAGGACAGGGAAGAGAGAACAAGTTCATTTGGTCATTGCTATCTCGTTAAAATCCCTCACAGAAGGTGACCTCAACTCCCCTGGTCCTGTTAACAGCTGTAGCCACCACCACCACCTGGCCCACAACTGGTGTTCTTGTAGGAGGAAAGGTCAGCAGGGAGAGGGATCAGGTCAGATGGTGAGGGAGGTCAGGATGTAGGAGTAGGTTACATCAGCAGGGAGAGGGATCAGGTCAGATGGTGAGGGAAGTAAGGCGACGAGGGGCCAGGAGGGTCACGTGGGGCATTATTGGGATCACACAAGGGTGAACTAAAGTGAAAAATCAGCGACACAATTGGAAAAAATCAATGGTAATTGAAGTGTGACGCTGTTATTGTAGCCAGATGAAAGACGGCGAGGGACCCCACGCTGATCAAAGGTGCTTACCCAGCCCCGCCTCAACCCCGCCCCGCCCCGCCTCGCCTCGTCTCACCCCGCCCCATGCCACCCCCCCCGCCTCGCTTCGTCTCATCCCACCGCCCCATCCCACCCCTTGCCCATCCCACCCCCGCATCGCCTCATCCCACCCCGCTCTGCAAGATCACCCGCCACACCACCTCCCCCTCCCCACCACCCTTTGTCTCCCTCCTACACCACCAGGACGAATCTCTCTCAGTGTAATTGACTTTGGATTTGATTTCCTCGTGTGGTGATGCTTCGGCGACGCTCTCCGGCGCCTGTACGGATCACGCCAGACCTGAGATGAAGGGATGAGGGAGTCGGGGTGATGAGGGAGTGAGGGAAAGGAAAAGAGTTACAGGAGGCTTGGGTGAGGGGAGTGAGGGGAAGGCTTGGGTGAGGGGAGTGAGGGGAAAGCTTGGACGTGAGAAAGACCAGTCACCTTTAAAATGTCCTGTAGATACCATATATTGCGGGGTGGTGGTGGTGGTGATGGTCAGGGGTGATTGTGGTAGTTATGGTGAGTGTGTTGAACTTGTTAACGATAGTTGATTGTGGTGGTAGTTATGGTGAGGGCTACCGGTGGTTGTAATGTTGGTTGTGGTACTAGTGATCGTTGTTATGAGACAGAAGCTAATGGTGGTGATAGTGATGATAGGTGATGGAAATAGAGGGTGATGGTGGTGGTGGTAGCAGTTGTTGTAGAAGAAGAGATGAAGATGGCCAGCCTGCCTCCCTCTCTCCCTGCCTCCCTCCCTGCCTCCCTGCCTCCCTCCCCCCCTCCCCTCCCTCTCCCCCCTTTCAGATAAAAGACTTAATTTACAGTGTAGGTATCGAGCGAGGCATCACCTAGCAGACTGTGTTTATTGTCTTAAAGAAGATGATGTCACCTTGGCCTTATGTTAGGTAGCGTGTAGGTACTAGCGTCTCTCTCTCTCTCTCTCTCGTTATTGAGTCACTACTAATATTCTCTCTCTCCCTTCGTCAGTACTACGCCTTCAGGTGGTGGAAACGAGGAACGTGGCGGCCGTGTCCTTCCCCTCATCTGGCGAGACGTGGCTAACGACGACGCCTACACGCCCTAGCGACCCGGCCTCCACGCCCACCGGCAACCCCTCCTACTCCTCCAGCAGCTCCTCCGGGGACCTGGACGCCACGCCCTCCTTCATCGGCGGGGACGTGTCTCAGGATTTAGGGGCCGAGTCGTCCAAGGTGCCCCTCGACACCATCATCCTGCCCCCGGAGGCTCTGCTGGAGAACTCTGAGAACGGGCTGGTGAAGATGGTGTTCTTCAGCTACGATGGCCTCCACCACCTGCTGCAGCCTGACGGTCGCTCATACAGGGTCAACGAGGCCAACTTCAAGGTGAGTCTCTGGCCAGGTGGGTGAGGTACAGGTGAGTTCCGCCAGGTGGGTGAGGTATAGGTGAGTTCCGCCAGGTGGGTGACGTTACTCTGGATCAAGTCACTCTACGGCCCTTAACTCCAAACTGCGACAAAAGTGAATACTGAATCCATATTATATACATCGTCAAAATTGAGAAACTGCGTCAAAGTTCAAAATTGCATCAAAATTACTAATATAAAGTCCAGCCACTTAAGCTTTGCCTCGATAAAACAACACTTCAGTCAGTGTAATTACGACCAAGTGATGAGATTTGAGTTAATTTGGCAGAAAATAACAACTGGTGATGACTGAGAGAGGTCGAGAGGGTAGAGTGAGGTTGACTTCTCCGGCCAAAACAAAGACACACCTTCAGTATATCACCTACAGTATATCACCTGTAGTAGCTGAGTGTCCGGGTCGTCTCACAGGACCTACTACTGAGGCACAAGACACAAGCCACGAGACACCTCCCTGGCATCTCCATTTGCCAGAAACAATTGTACCAGCTCGTGGAAAAGTGAAAATGGAAAACACAAGATGATACACGCGATGGTGACTCAGTTATCGTCACCTATGTGTGATCATCTCCTAACACTTACCAGAGGTGTAGAAACTTGGTATACGCGTGTGAGTTTAGGTTAGGTTAGGAGTGTAGACATAGAGAAATAATTAGAGTTTATTGTTACATTATAAAAGTCATTGTATTGATTCACTAAGCTAATCCTCCCGCCTCCTCCCCCAGGGCGTGAACGAGACGCGGGTACTCAACTCGAAGGTGCTGTCGGCGTCGCTGGGGGCAGGACGACACATTGAGTTGTCTGAACCTGTGGTCCTCACCTTCGCTATGATCCGCACCGTCAACGTCACCAACCCCGCCTGCGTCTTCTGGGACTACACCACCAGGTAGGTCCTCTCTTGTTTCTCCCAGGGTTTACTTCAGCCTTCTACATGATTACTTCAGCCTTCTACATGATTACTTCAGCCTCCATAAGTTTACCTCAGCACTCACAGAATTACTTCAGCTCCCCACAAATTTATTTCAGCCCCCAGAGTATTAATTCAGCCCCCAAATGTTTACATCAAGCAACTTTCCCCGGCATCTCCCCATCCACACCTCCCACACTTGTATTGGCTATTGATGTTGTAAGACCAGACGTACCTAACCTAACCTAACTAAGCAAGCAGAGAGCAAGAGAGATGAAGCTGCCACACTCCACAGTTGGTACCGGGAGAGAAGTGACCCCACACGCTGGTATCTTACCCTCAGCCACTGGGAGGGATGGTGGTATCAGGCCCTCATTCTGGAGTTTATAATAACATGGTACCAGCATTCATGGGTTATACCACTAAAGAGTATCATGGGTTAATACCACTGTTAGTAATATCGTGGGTTATATTCTTAATACAGGTTACATAACATTTACCATACAAGATACAGCACCACAACAGCACCACAACAGCACCACTACACAGCACCACAACAGCACCACTATACAACACCACAACAGCACCACTACACAGCACCACAACAGCACCACTAATACACGTACAGCAACAAACCACACACCACACCACCAACCGCCACAACACCACCACACAGGTCTACGAGGGAGAGGAAGCATCCTGCCGTTTTTATCGAGGGATAATTGCCAGAAATTACACTGAAATGGACCGCAGACAACACGAGATAAAAATCAGTGATAGTGATCAGGCCGCGAGCCAGGCGATCACCATCTGCCTCCACAGCTGGCGGCGGGGGAGAGAGCAGGGAGGGAGGGGGCAGGGGGGGGCGGGAAGGGGTGGGAGGGGGCGGGGGAAGGAGGGGAGGGAGGGGGCGGGGAGGATGGGCAGAAGGAAAGGAAGAGAAATTATAAGGAGATTAAGGGGTATAATGGTTAAGGAACGGGTGAGAGGGAAAGAGAGGGGTGTATTGAGGTGTCAGGGTGATGAGGGAGGAGACTGAGGGAGTGTAGAGGTGTAGGAAGCGCTGGGAGGAAGTGTCAGGAGTGAGGAGGAGGAGGAGGTTGGAGGGAGGTGTGAGGGTGTTGTGGTGGGGTGTGGATAGGTGTAACAGACGACCCTGGAGAAGTGGGAGGCAGGAAGAGGAAGAGGAGGAAGAGGAGGAGGGGAGGGTGGAGGAAGAATAGGCGGAAGAGGAGGAGGAGGAGGAGGAAGAGGGCACTCACTCTGTGGCGTCTATGATTATGACATGTTGATCAGTTGGTGATGTTACCTCTTGCACTTCTCGCCTCCCTCCTCTCCCTTTTTCCTTCCCTTCCCTCCCTCCCTCCCTCCACCACTCCATCACACCTCCCTCCACCACTCCACCACCCCTACCTCACTCCACTGTATCACCGTCAGCTTGGTCGCTTCACATATAAAGTGTTGCCAACCCTTACGGAATGTCCAATATATTTATGAAATAGTTTAGCTGGACATTTGAGCGGATGTGGCATCATTTTTTTGAGTATTTTTTAAGGGGATACAATATTTTTTTTTTCTTTTATTATTTTTTTTAGTGAAGCAAAAGCCGTATTAAGTATCAATGGTTGTTTTTGGTGTTTATCAAAGGTACAGTTTTATGTGGGTATTTTATTTCTTTATTTGATATCATGTGACTTTTTCCCCCGTGGGTGATATGGGTAGTATTTTATGTAGTAATTGGGGACGAGAGGATTAATTTTTTTAGCTGTTAATTTGATATGAATTATTTTGTGGTGTGGTGTGGTGTGGTGTGGTGTGGTGTGGTGTGGAGTGGTGTGGTGTGGTGTGGTGTGGAGTGATGTGGTGTGGTGTGGTGTGGTGTGTTTGTTGACAAGTGAGTGAATACTACTACTACTACTACTACTACTACTACTACTACTACTACTACTACTACTCAGATAACCTATAACAGTTTTTGATTTACAGTGGGGTAATATGTTTTGTTGTTGTTGTTGTTGTTGTTGAGAGTCCCCCGCGTTCTTTCCGTCTGTTAAACTACTGCGGGGGATGTCTACAGCAGTCATCTCGTGGGGATGTCTGCCAGCGGTCTGGCGGATCCATCTCGCGCTCGCGTTCAAATCCTGGCTGTTCCAACTCCCTGCCCGTCCATCTCACTCGCGTTCCAACTCCTCTTGTTCATCTTCTGACGTTCAACTCCCCAGACGTTCAACTTCCTGCCGCCCATCTCACTCGCGTTCAACTCCTCTTACATTCATCTTCTGACATTCAACTCCCCAGGCGTTCATCTCCCTGGCGTCCATCTTTCTAGCGTTCAATTCCTCTCACATTCATCTCCTGGCATTCACTTCCCCAGGCGTTCAACTATAACATTCAACTCCCCTCACGTTCATCTCTCTGGCATTGAACTCCCTGGTCGTTGAACTCAGGGGCTGGCGTTCATTGACCGCCCCCTCCCCAACAAATGGCGTGGCAGTGTGCGTCTGACAGGCATTAATAAAGACCGTCCTCGCTCTCTCCTGACGCCGGGGAAGAGAAGAAGAAAAAAAATCCTCGCGGGTTAATTAGTGAGCAGGACCCGACCCGACCCGTAGTCTCAAAGGTGTGTAAAGGTAAATTTGTTTCTCGCCTTAAGATGAATTTCAGTGAGGATGAAGACTAATAGTTCTTTTCTCGGAGGTACATAAGGTAAATTTTCACCTGTAATGTCGAAGTTAATTAATTATATCGACACGTGGATGGATTCTCAAAGGTGTACAATGTAAATTTTCTCACATTGAACAAAATTTACCTGTTCATTTCAATTATGACACCTGGACGTAAGATAAATTTCCGACTCTTGTAAGTGAACATTGAGATCGACTTAACTATTTTACCGACAATATTACACAAAGATAGAGATTAAAATCCCCCCAAATGTTAAGTTAATTAACCTCACCTGACTAAGACACAGGTAGAGTCTTAACATTAACACTATACCTGCCGCCATCTTTGACTTCTTATACATCAGTTAAGAGGAAAAAATTATCTCACGAACGTTAGAGAATCAACCTGTTTACTGTAGACTGAATGAGCCAATTAGGTGAGTTTGTAAATATCCAATTAGGGGAGAGAGAATTAACATAGGAATCACTAACAACCCTATCTACCTGTCCTGGTATAAATGAGGCAGTTAGATACACTCTCCTATCTCCAGACAGGTGAACAAATTTAAGCTTAGGGAACACCTGTGAGTCCGTGTGGAGGTTGGGTGGTGGTGTGGTGTTTGTGGTGGGGGTGGGTGTGTGTGGGAGGGGCTTGGTTGGGGACGTGTGGTTGGAGGTGTGTGGTAGGGGGACTGGCTGGTTGGGGGTGTGTGTGTGTGTGTGTGTGTGTGTGTGTGTGTGTGTGTGTGTGTGGGGCTGCGTGAGGGAAGGTGTACGTGGTAGAGTATGGGCTGCGTGTATGTGCTGGCCAGGGGCTGGGGAGGACGTGTGTGTTGGGGGCTGAGGGTGTGTGTGTGGTAGGGGCTGGTGTGTGTGTGGTGGGGGGCTGGGTGTGTGTGTGTGGTGGGGGCTGGGTGTGTGTGTGTGTGTGGTAGGTGGCTGGATTGTGTGTGTGTGGGGGGCTGGGTGTGTGTGTGTGTGGTGGGGAGCTGTGTGTGTGTGGTGGGGGGGCTGGGTGGGGGTAGTGGTCGTGGTTCACTGGCGTCTCTTCCCTTGGCTCAGAATTTCGATTAAATGGGGTAATTAGAAATCTGGCGGCCTCAGGCGTGTTGTGGGAACTGGATGGTGGCTCCACCAGCTGGATACTGATAATGATGTGTGTGTGTGTGTGTGTGTGTGTGTGTGTGTGTGTGTGTGTGTGTGTGTGTGTGTGTGTGTGTGTGTGTGTGTGTGTGTGTGTGTGTGTGTGTGTGTGTGTGCTTCCTCAACCTAACGTCTTGCATTATTCATCTTTTTTCATTCACTGTTACTAGTCTTTTTCCTGTCACTCTTATTTTTATGTGTGCAACGTATGTATTATGATGAGTGCCTCCTTCACAACACGGCCCCTGGTATGAGTATTCCCCTTCCTAGCTTGGCCCCCTGGTATGGTATTCACACTTCTAGCTTACCCCCTAATTATGGTATTCATCCTTCACAACATGGCCCCTGGTATGGTATTCCCTTCTGTAGCTTACGGCCCTCTGGTATGGTATTCCCCTTCACAACATGGCCCCTGGTATGGTATTCCCCCTTCCACAACACGGCCCTCTGTTATCAGTATTCCCCTTCCACAACATGGCCTGGTATGTTCCCCTTCCACAACATGGCCCCCTGGTATGGTATTCCCCCTTCCACAACACGGCCCCAAAATTTCCATCTGGTTTACCCTTGTCGCTTGAGGAGGGTAAAAATCACGTCAGATGGCTGGTGGAGGGACGGTGCAGGACGACGGACCTTCACTCACCCTCACTGACAGGGGAGGGAAGTGAACGTATGAACCTTTGTGGATTCGTACCCTGACCCCCCAGTGAAATGTGAAATAAAAACATAAACAGCTGATCGACAGGGGCTACAGCTGGTAGACAAGAACCAGCAGTTGGTTGATAGACAGGCAGGAGCCACAGGAGTTTATACCTTCATCCTGCCTGTCTACACCTTCATCCTGCCTGTCTACACCTTCATCCTGCCTGTCTACACCCACACACGTCGCTTATTACCACCAAACGTTGCCCAAATACACAGCTAACGCACTCAATCAACAAACACTGAAAACTTCAATTACACTGTTTACAGAATAGATCTTTGTGTTTGGGTGAGGTCAGACAGTGAGGGGGCAACGCGCTTTGGGGGTCATGATGGTGTGTAAGGATGATGTTTCTAGTGTTATGACAACTATGTACCCCCAGACGTGACCTCCCACAGGGTTGTTCCTAGACTCCTCCTGTTGGTAGTTTCAATATTTTCTTGGACTGACGGGTCTTATCCGTCCTTTAG